AGCTCTGGTTGACCACATTTGCAGGCATTTCATGTAACTAAATAGTATTAACAATTATAAGTTTCTCTTCTATATCCTTAAACAGCAGAAATGTGCTGTCTTTTAAGCCTTTTTTGTAGTGATGTGTACGGCTGGCTCGGTACCTTGAAATGCAGCCCTTTTTCTAGCACTTGGCAATGTGAATGATTAATAGTTACTGCTTGGGGATTTGTGGTGACAGCTGAATTGTCCCAGACATGAGGTGAGCTCCCATTTATGATAGTGCTGAGGGAGTAGAGATGGAGACCCGCTAGAGACATTTTCCTCCTCTAACCTAATGGGATTGCCATTCTTTTAAGCTGTGTTGCAATAGCACACAGAGGCCATGGTGCCCTGCCTGTGCACATAGTAGAAGACAGCCTGGAGACTCCATGACTCCAAAAAGATAGGCATGATACAAAAGGAAGTGTCTTTACACCCTGGTTACAGTTGTGAAGCTGAGGCACAGAGGTGTAACATGGTTTGGTATAAGTCACTGTATGTGTCCGTGACAAAATAAGAGACAGAATCATCGTCTCCTGCGACGTGCTCAGGTTGCCTTTCGTGTATTGTCTCTTCTCTGTGCCCTGAACTCATCCTGCCTCTTGGAGGACCGTAGCTAGCTGACATGGGAGCTAGAGATAAGGAGAGACTTGTGTGGAATAGAATTAGGGAAGGAAGCATGTTGCAAGCCAAACTGTAGGTTTTGTAGCAATTTTTGTTGTTGTTGAAAAGGCTTTAGGAGTTGGTCTGGATCTGTACGTTAAAAATGTGGCTCAAATCACTGAACTCTTCCAGAAAAGGGCATTTTTGTTCATGATTATTCATGATTCAGTTCTCTAGTCAAAAATAAATGTACTGATAAGGAATCCCTTACAGTTTTTTGATTTTTTTTTTTTTTTTCAAATTCCTGTTGTGCTATGCTCCACATTCGTTAGCAGTGACCTTTGCATTCACAGCACTGTGGATAACAAATTGTATTTTTTAACAGAGTAATTTTCTGAATGAAAGATACCAGACAGGTGACTTTTATCACTAAAAAAAATCATGACGTATTTTCTTTGCCAACCATCCTGGAAATTTTGTAAGAAAGCTTTTCCCTTTATTTCTAGGCTTTCAGTCCCCTTGTGCTAGCAGTTACTCTCAGGCAGCCTACTCTGCCTGCTCTTTGGCCATCTCATCGTGCTGTGTTCTTACACCAGGGCCCAGAACAGACCCAGAACTGGTAGGTCAGACACTGCAACCCCATGTTTGGCTCCTGTCCCTCCCTTCAAATCTTAGAACCTCAGCATGATGGTAGAGTCAACTGTTGCAAAAAAACCCAAAAAACAAACCAAACAAACCCCAAAATCCAGCAAAGGAGGGAAATGAAAAAATAGGTGAAATATCTGCAAACGATAAAGCTTTCTAGTGTTTTCACTATGGATTGTAGTGTATTAAAACTGAGGCAGTGTACAATTTAATGTTAGTTCTAGCCCCTGAAATTCAGTGCTACCTTTTGAAACTATTAAATAGAATGATACGTCCAATTCTTCACATAACACCAAAAAATCCCTTTTAAATTTCAATAAAACTCAGAGCAGGTGGAATCAAGATCTGTAGCTAAGTGTTTGCTTTACACTAGATATGTGCCATGAGTAGAATTCTCTCTCAGCAATTGATTCAACATCCTCAAAATTGAATCTTTTTACTTCTTATTTTGGGGTTTTGGGTTAAGGCCAAAATCAACACCTACAAGAAGAACTATGAACCTGCAGAAAGTATTTATAAATACTATGCTGTTACTTTTGTATGAACTCTTACACAACCTTGATTTAGGAAGAAAAAAGGCTGAGCATATGAATACGTCATCAGAAAAAAAGCTGCCTGGAAACATTTGTTTATTTTTGCAAATGCCCAGAACTAGAAGGATTATCATCGTTTATTTTTGTTTAGCAGGTGCTCTGACATCTTGTAGCCTCTGATTACTTTCCGCTGGATGTTATCCAAACAATCCAAACAATTCTACTTTGAATCATAGCTCCTTTGGGAATATTTTTCCCTTTGCAGATGCTCAGCTGTCTACTATTCTGGCAACAAATACAACATGAATTAGCAAATTTATTCCCTGTGATTCACCTTCTTTTAGCTCAGGTGGAGCAGACACAGGAAGCTGAAGTCAATTTCCACTACTGTCATGATACTTTGACTGGTTGCAATAGAAAACTGAACTGCAGTTTCATGTGGTCAAAGATCTGTTAAGGTATATTAATAATCATTAAGGTTAGGTAAGATGATTCTTTTACTGTAAGAAAATGTATTTAGCATGTTAAAACTAAACCTCAGCACAAAAGCATTCTTTACAATTTATTGAACAGTATACAGCTGTTTAAATAAAGTGATAAAAAATTACGTTACAGCCCTAAACTTGTACTATGTTAACGAAAGATTTAGCCAGATTAATCTGTTTATTGTACCAATGACACACCTCAGTATATTGTTACTCTCTTTTCAGTCAATAGTTGCAACACAGACCCTGAGAGCTTATGACCGCATTTGAACCAGTGTCCAACAAAGGATGGACACTCAATCAAAGTTATGAAGTTTAAATTGCAGTTTCTGGCATGTGTGGAGTTATCAAGCAGGTAAAGTTCATCTCAGTCATGTACTGTTTTCTTCTGGGATGAAATGTAACCACTTGGAAAATGCAAAGAAAAGCTGGGTTCAATGTAGAACCGCTGTGTTCCGTTTTGATTTGAACCACCAAAATTCTGCAAAATTAAAACCATGAAAACTTCAAAAACATGGACTTTGTCTCTGGCAGGGGACAAAAATGTTAGAAAAATGGGTGAATCACAGCCTCATCTATGTACAGGTGCTCTCCTCTGTACCTTAGACTAGGCTGCAGCCCTGGCATCAGCCAGATTACAAACTGCCCTGGAAGGTCCATGGGCATGTTGGCAAAACCCAAAACAACCTCCCCTCACCGCACATCCAGTATCTGGCCTTTATTTGTAACTTTAATCTCATTTACCACAATTTTGAAAAGGATTCAACTTGACCAGAAAACAACAGCCAAATCTCCCAGAACAGTACCTCTCTGCACAGGATTTCCATTGAACATGTACGTCACTTACTGTCTTTTTCCTGATTTAGAAAGCCTGATTAGAAATAATCTTCATTACCCAAGATACTGTTTCTCTGTCTGAAACTGTAGTTTCCCATGAAAGCAGCTTTCCAGAGGAAGAAGAAAATTGTCAACTCACTGATGGAGGATCCATGAGGATGAAACCATTAACGGTGGCAAATTGGGTCATAGATTTGGGTAGTAAAAAAAAAAGCACAACTATTGTCTGCATGACTTTCAGAACTAAGTGTGGAACTGGTCTCTTTATTCAGACTTGCTCCCAGCTGGGCTCTGACAAGGATAATGGCAATAAACTTCTCTCTTTTCACCAAGAGGGGAGGTGATAGGAGGGTAAACGTAAATTTCTGAGAGCTCCTAGATGATGATGGTGATGCGTACCTATACAGTAGTTCAGATAGAGAGATCCAGCTTTATGTACTCATATTGAATTAGAGGTGAACACCATCCTACAAGCTGAGCTTTAATTTGGTTTATTAAGTCCCCAGTTGCAAAATACATGAAACACTGTTACTGCCAGTCAGTGCATACATTAAGTTCAAATTAGACTACACACAAAAAAATGATTAATAACATATTTCGCCTTCCCCTTCTTCCTCTCTTCTTACAGTCCACTTGTTTAGTTGTCTTGTACTATGTCGGTAATTCAAAAGTGCCCAGAGACATGAAAGCAGAGTCCTGTTCTGCTGTGTGCTCTGTAAACCCAAAGACACTTTTTGAAAGTGTGCATCCTTTTGGCCTATTTTGTGTGGCTCTTTTGGTGGCAGAAGACTCACAAAATTTCATGGTCAAACATTTAAAGGAGGAAAAAAAGATATTTTAATGCAGCTAACTATATTAAATATATTTTTCTTCTTAGTGCATTCTTTCTAACAGTTTTTAAGCATTTTTCTCAAATTTTTTCTAGTACTTGGTGACTGACCATGTTCAGAACCTCTAACAGGACTAAGAGGTCAGTGCAAGGAGCACTGATCTCAACCAACCTCTCACGGAAGAGTTTAACAAACAACTGGGGAATTAGACCTGTGGATATTTGGAGAGGCTTTCCCAATTACTGTGCAAACGAGCAAATTCTGATCTCCTACACAAATTCTTAACACACTTCAGCACACATTCAGCATCTGAGGTTAAGCCTGAAGATTATGAAATAATTAATGTCTCAATTGTTTATTTCCTCATTTGTTACTGAGGTATTATCTTGGAAATCCCCATGGTCCAGTTGAATCTCTTTGGAAGTTCTCTAATATTCTTCCTGGATTGTTCGTATTTGCCACAGCCCCTTCAAAACAATACAAGGGGCTGTCACTCCCTTCTGTGGGCTTTGAATCAGGCTACGCAAGACTGGAAGGCATGAACTTCTCGAGTACACCAGGCTGTTTTCCTTGGTTATACTGATTAAACAACTTTCCATGAGTTGTTGGAGACAACTATGGTGGGGATTTGTTTCTTGTCATTTTGAACTTATTTTTTTCTGATTTTTTTTCTGGGAGTGACTGTATCAAAATCACTCAGGGGAATAAAATAAAACTTGATGGGAGAGATTCTGTGTTGACTTTGGCTCCAGTCTATTAGAGCGTACGGAGGAAGAGATACTCACTGATACTCGGTAGGTTTTCTGCATGAAGGTCTAATTTGCACCAGTAGAAAATCAGGAATAAAGCTGGAGTCTGTTTTGTCTCCTCTGCTGTCTCCTCTGTTTCACTCTGCAGCATACCTATCTGGGGAAGAAAGGCAGCTGTGCAGGAGATGGCACTTCAAAAGCTCTTCTTGACCATATTCAGCTGTATAAGGGCTACACCAACATTATCACTTTAGTCCAGAGGAAGAACGTATATTTGAAGCAAGTCTTCTGCTTGACCCCATCTTCCCCACCGTGGTTTCGTATTGCACAGTAGTCTTGAAGCCTGTCCACTGGATTCCTTTCAGATGAAATAAAACCAAAGATACCTTCCAGGAGCTCATCTAATTTACCTCAACTGCTAATGGGCATTTAGTCCAGACGCCTGGGCTAGAGCCGGTTCTCAGTTACTCTCCCCTCAAGCACGTACAGACCAGACCCTGGATCTCAGCATCAGCTGTTTCACTTCTCACGCCACTCCTCACTCCTTACTGCTGCAAACGTAGGTAAGGCCACTCTATGCAACCTGGAGCATGTATTGGAGAAAATGAGGCAATCTCATAGACTGTGTGCAACTTCTGCTGGTCACAGGGGTACAGTTGTGACAGCAAAACGAGATCATAGCTATTGCACTGGGGATGTATCTCCCAGGAAGGTGTCAAACAATATCAGAACAGCCAACACGATGTTTTCAGGAATGAAAATAACCAAACACATGAGTGACAGAACTCACTATAGTGCATGAAGATGCAAGGAACGGGAAAATGGAGATGCACCTCAGCCAGTTTGAACATTTGTGTAGACTTTCCTTCTCTTCTGCATATACTCCCTCCCTCCCCCCCGCCTTGCACCTCAATAAGCAAGAAAACACATTAGTCTGACTTACTTTAATAAAATAAACAAAGGCCAGCAAACAGATATCACACCTGAATTTTTGCCGCTAAGGAGGGGATCCATCTAGAGAGGAACTGGAAAAGGATTTTAGTCTTGAATTTTGTCTGCTTGTTGGCATAAGTTCTGACCCCTCTGCTAGTACAGAAGGAGCTTGTGAACATGTGAAGCTCTATCGGCATCTGTGGAATTGCCTATATTCTTCTTTCAGACCATTGAGTCAGGATCTCTGTTTCACAGGACGATTCTACTTCCAAGCCTTAAGCAATGTATGGGAAGAGTTAGTGAACCAAATGAGTATTAGGGGTGCCAGATGCTTTTGAAAACTGCCTCATAACCTAATCAAATCACTTTGCTTAAAAAAAAAACATTTCCAAGTATGCTTTATCACAAAGTAAATATACCTGTGTAACCACGGGAGCATTTTACTAGCATTCAGTACAGTGCAAATTAGCAAGTAGGTCATATTTTCAAGAGAATGAATGTTTGTCAATTATGTTTACATTTCAGTAAATACACAAGGGCTAGATTTAGAAGTGATTTTGATAGCAAGGAGAAGTTCTTCACCAAGAATCAAGAGTGACACAAACTTGCATGTGGAGAAAAGTACTGAGGGATTTGCACTGGCTTTTAACAGTCATGTTCAAGATTTTTCAAATAGAAAATATTAAAAATGTGGAACAAAAAGCAAGTAGCAAAAAGAGATGATACACAAGTAAGAAATATTGCAGTAGTATTTACAGTCTTGGCAAAAAAGGTGAAGGCAAAAGTTAGTGGCAAATGAGAAGGCAACCATAGCACACAAGGTTGTATTTACACTATAATGAATAGAGGCAGTAACTGCTTATAACTGCTTTCCCAAATCCACTGGGAAAGAGATCTGATCATAGCAATCCATGCTCCAAAACACAACCACTCACCTGACATTGAGTGTCTAAGTGTGAACATTACGCGGCGAAGTAACAACCCAGCGGGGGCAGAGGCACTGCAACACCTCAGTTTGGGATGCAGGACTCCTGGATCTCCCACTTTGCAGGTAAGTGCCTTAACCTTGAGGCCCCTGTCTAAAAGGAAGGTAGCAGAAAGGAGCACCAACTTTGGCTTTGCTGACACAGGACATAGGATGTCTTTCTCAGCTTTTGCGAGGAAGAGCTGTAAGAGACCTCAGGGAAGGGTCTAGATGCTTCATATTGTGTATTTAGTGGTGGCTGTTTCAAGGTGGGTGCTGTGGTGCTGGGGCAGCCCCCCTGTGCTTAATGCACCCCTCAGGCAGCTTAGTGTGGAGATTTTCTTGGCTTTCTGTCTACTTTGAAGTGCCCTTCTTTCTCCCTGCTCTGGCCCTGTGCAGGCAACCTAAATGTGTAATGGTGTGTGTACTCTGCAAGGGGCAGAACATCAAGCAGTGCCTCCACCTGTGCTCCAAGCTGGCAGGAGTGGTCTGTAGCTGTTCCGATGTGGTGGTGTATGGCTGTTCAGTCATGGTACGTCCTCCCAACAGTACGCTGGGTCAGGCAGTGAAAGGGGTGCTGCTCCAGGTATGGGTAGAACAGCATGTGACTGCCAGTGTATGGAGGCACCTCTTCTCTCCAGGCTTTAGATTTCTTTCTCAGAGTTGAAGGGCATTACCAAAGCACTGCATTTGACTCATACAGTTGTCTCTATTAATGTTTTTTGCCATAGGTGTGTATCTAGATTCTGCATCCAGTGCCAACGTGTTTGGTTGCACCCCCCGCCGCCCCCTGACTTTTAGGTGTCTAAACCTTTTATTGAAGCCTGTTCCAGCTCTCATGGACAATAGTTGAGCTGCTGGGGCACACATGGGAGGAGTCTGTGGCCTGAGGTCTATAAACACTAGTACATGCACTTAAACTTCAGTATGCAAATTAGCCAAGTGGCTTTAGCAGGACTGCTTTACTGAGGCCTAATCATGCAATATACACAATGGCTCTAACTGTATGGTTTGTGCGGCAAGGTGTGGATCACACAGGATCTGAAGATATGTCAGTTGTTTAAATATTTGAATAGGGAAGTTTAAGCGCGAGGGGGTTAAAATGACATTTCTAGAGATCATGATTCTACTGTTTTGCATTTCCGTACTTCATTGGTGTATGAAGTAGCAATCGTGAGGGGTGCAATAAAAGGAATTATACCAATTACAGAAAAATGGTCCCCTTGCTCAAAATCAGCAGATCGGTTCTCTGCTTCAAGCGTTGGATGCCTTCTAACTTCAAATTAACCCTGAGAAGAGTTCATAGGACTACTTATTAATGTAGACTGATGCTGAATGCCTGAAACGTTTACATGACTGCGCAGAATTTTCTCTTGAAGGCAGCCTATATTATACTCTAATGGGGCAAAATAGCCTTAACTGTCCACCAACAAAGAAGGTGCTTTGTAATTCGCTACCTCAGGTGGATCTCAGGTAGAAATAAACATTTGAAGGAGGTTTCCAAACACATTTCAAGTTGGCTTTCTACGGTTGTTTGCATCCTTGGGACATTTTGCACCATTTTTTGTGGTGAGAGGTACAGAGTGCTACGACGTCACTATTTAACCTGTGATGCACCACCACTCAGCTTTCTAAAAGCCCTAATTCAGTTCTTTCTGCTCTTACGAAACTCCAACCTGTTATTTCCTTTGTAGTTGGCTGGTGTTCTACGGAAGACTACATAGTTATTAAGAGGTATGTACCCAGCACCTCTATAAAGTATTTTTCAGAAATCTAATTAGAGTTATCAAATATGCATTCACATTACCACAGTAATGGGCAACACGTACTCCAGGATGTTCTGGGGTGTGCAATGCAGAGCAAGTGCATTTCAACAAAATGAAGAGGAAAGGAAGAGATGAGGCTAAAAATAATAGGTGAATCTCTTACACTGGATTGTGTGAAAGGCGTTAGTAATAAAATAGCTACAGATATATTTATTGATAAATGTTTTCCACCATTTTATTGGTTGTTCTGATGGTCCTCAACACAGCTCCATTTGTATCTATGTTCATATTGTGTTCCTCTCTTTTCTTTTGTAATCAAGTTTGTATCTCCTGGGGAAATTCAGAGTCCCCTTTGTCTCAGCAGGCCTTTGAGCGGGCTCGGGAATCCAGCTCCAAGGTCTTTGCAGGACTGGAGACACTGCATCTGAGAGGAGCTGGAGTGGACTTGTATCTGCTGTGAGGGGAAAGAATTTTGCATATTGTGTGTGGACAGAGATGATTTGACCCATACCTACACCCTGAATATCAAGAAAGGTTTTAGAAGCTTAAAAAGGTGAAAGAATTGAAATAGAGGAACATCTACTATGGATTTAGGCACAAACTGCTTATCTTCAACGCATTAAGTTTTTAAAGTGCTCAACTGTAAGAATCAAAGAAGAAACTGTAAGTCTTGGGATATGAATTAACCTATGTCATCTAGAAATTGCATAACTAGACCACTGGTTTGCTGAAGTTCAGTACCTCAATAGTGAGTGATGTTATCTGATTGTTACTACTGACCTTATCCAGGAAAGAATGTTAGAAACCCTGCCCTGTCTCTGAGACCATCTGAGAGGAATCATCTACAACAGGTGACCAAAGCCTTGGATATAGTTACAATTCATAATTATTCAAAGCCATAATTACTTTTTGCATAGCTTAATTTTTCAATAACTTATAGCAGTTTGGTACTAGTAATGTCGTAATAAGTACTGTGCTAACAACAGAAGTTGCTAGAGAAGCTTTGGAAAGAACCGCATCTGAGTGGCATTTTGGCAGTTTGCTAATCCAGACTCGCAGGATTCCAGGATGAATTATTATTTAGGCACACAGTTGGCAGCTGGCAAGGAACCCAGAGGTTCTGTTTTTGGGTTGGAATTTAGCCAAGGTAAACAAAATGTAGTTGTATGTTGTGTGCAGTCTCCAAAGCTGGCACAGGATTCCAGCACGTTGGAAGCCTTAACTGAGACAGTCGTTGTAGCAGTGGTGTGCTGAAATGGATCATTAATGTGCACAGAAAAAGGGAGTACACACTGAAGGGATAAACTTAGCAGAAAGGGCTGGGATGGATGACCTAGCAGGACAGCTCTTGATCTGCCCACTGAACAGCAAAAACAAGCAATTACTTTTGTGCGCTGCTGAAGAAATCAATTGTGAATTGTATTGTTTTCTGAAAGCTAAAGGTCACGTTAAAACTGACAATCCTGAGAGTCAATAATATGTTATGTGAAAAGATATGTAATTTATTAAAATGCACTTATCCCTTCGTGCGTTTGCTCTCTTGGGTTTTTTCCTCTAACAAATAAAAATCTTTTACATGTCAGAAACTGACAGCTGACACAAATTCTTCCGCGAAACAGAGATCCTTAGTCTACTTATAGATGCTTGCCAACTAGGCTCATCATTATTGCT